AAATGTCGAAGGCAAAATATAATGTCATTTAAGGTAGCAATGCCTCTAAGGGTGATTTTTGATTACTTACCCATGCACGTTTTCCCATCCTTTCCCAAGATATAACCTCCGAAACACTCGCAATGTCGGCCACCTTCATCATTACGACATAACTGACTACATCCTCCGTTATTCACGAGACATTCATTTACATCTAAATCAATCATGATTTTTCTTTTGATTGAGATTCTGACGACCAAGGACTTACCATAACACGAATGTCCATCTTCAGCTAAGCGAAAGCCTTCATCACAAGCACATTCATAACTTCCAGGAGTGTTGGTGCACATGTGCTGGCATCCACCATTGTTGGCGACGCATTCATTGATATCTAGAAATTGTCCTTACGAAAATGGAAAACTATAAGAAAAGAAATGGCGAAAGAGGGAGAAAAACAATGCTTTCATAATTTTTTTTTTTACTTTGAGGAGACTTCTAACTCTACTCTTCTCAGCGAAAAAAAAACAAGCAATTTTACCCATATGTAGAGCTTTTTTTCCAAAAGTACCCTCCCCTCCCTCCTCCTCCACTCCTTTATGAAATACTCGTTTAAATTCTCTACTCTATACAGATTCTAGTGATTCTACAAACCTTCGCAAGTTCTTCTGTCATAAGTCATGATATAGCCTGTCTTACACTGGCACTCAAAAGATCCGGGTAAGTTGATGCAGAGTTGCGAACATCCGCCGTTTCCGACGGAACACTCGTTGATATCTAAAAGTGGAACATTACATTCAGATTTCTCTCTACAAGTGAATTTTTCTACTGTGCGGTGACTATAGTGAAACTGAAGATCTAATTGTGTCCAGAAGTGGGTTCACGACTTGAATTTTGTTGGTGGGATTGTGAGAACTTTCTACTCCTCCAAAGATTCAACGCATTTGAAGTTCCTGTGCACCACATTGAAAGGTTTCACTTTTTTTGTCTTTCACTGCATTATACACGCCTCTTTTATGCAAGCTTCTACAAAATTGTGAAAAACCGTAACTGGCCGACTTTAATTAATTTATCGATTCATCCAATATGCATGACACACGATATAAAGGTTTGGATATTATGACAACTTCGTTATAATGGGAGTGATGTAAGGAAAGCAACCTTCATTCCAATCAAACAATCATATCGTTTCTGTGAGGTCAAATAAT